AGCTCTGAGCATGACCTGGAGGTACTAGCTTTGAAAGGGAGATTGAGGTGGTTGGGAAATCCTCGTCTTTTTTCTTGCGTTTTTCTTGAGAGGGAGGCTGTTGTGCCAGCCTTGTAACAGCATGAATATGGACGTTAAATGGGTCGAGGAATTTCAAATTAAGTGAGGAATTAGTCTGGAGAAACATTGTGGCATAAATACAGAGACATGGGTGTGTATCCTGTATCATAAAGTGTGTGTTCCTGGTTTGAGATCCATGGTGATTTTCCCACAAATGACCTGGAAGTTTGAATTCTTAATCTGCTCTGCATTGGATGTGCATAGCAGATTGGTGTCTGATCTAAAATATCTCTGAATATTACAGAATATAAAGACTTAAAGAAGTTTAATTTTATATGGAAGGAGAGCCTTGTGTAAGACTGGGTAAGGGGGTGCATATCCACAGGTTTAATCAGGCCAAATATCACCTCACGATGTGAGGACAGGGTGCTTGCTATTAGCCTTTCTTTTCTATGCAATACATTCTCTCTCCTTCTCTCTCTCTCTCTCTCTCTCTTATAATCACTTTGTGTAAGTTGTTGAGGAGTGGTGGTAAGAGTGGTGTGTTTGGTGATCTCGATGGATTGCAGGATAATATTGAGGGCCATGTGTGAAGCAGGAATGATGGCAAACAGGAGCAATAGAGTTGTGAGTTTGTTGAGAGGAGCACAAATACTTTGTATTAAGAAAGAGAAAGACTACAATATTTTACAGTAGAATATATTTGATATCCTAAAGTCTTTATATATTGGCTAGAATTATTTTTTAAAACATCATTTTTTGTTCATCAGAGAGCAAATCCATGCAGGTTTTTGTTCATTTAGAGAATTCTGTCTGCATCATTCCTCGCTCCAAACATTTAATGCACCTTCTTTCTCTCTTTCCCCCTTCCCATTCACTTTAGTGTAATATTTTAGCTATTCTCAATACTATCTTCTCTGATTCTTTAGGTTTACCCTATGTTGGGAAATGACAATTAATACATAGGAAGAAAAAAACCCTTCCCCCACAAATGTTTGGAGCATTGTTTCTTGTTTCATGAAACATGAGAAGACAGCAGCTGCCTGTTGTATTTTCTAGCCCACTTCTTAAATTCCCGTCAGGAGGGTTCTCACATGTTATTATGTTATTGAATGAGCTGCAAGGAATGTCATTTGACTACACAACTGATTATTTTGGGATTGTAGTCTGCAGTTGGAATATTGTAATTGCTTCTGACTTCCGGGACCAGAAGAATCTACTGGCCTTATTTCCCATTCCAAGTTGGCACCAATTTGTCCATTATCAGTGACTAAGTGTTTTTAATTTTTACTCAATTCCTCTCCTTAATTTTGACTTGGAGGTCCTCCTGGATTTGTGGCTTCTGCCTAAGGAGCGGATGACACAGCAAGGCTAGGGAGATTTTACTGACAGGCATTTTGTGTGCCGACTACACCCATTACTGAACCAGGAGATATTACGCAGAACAGTAATCTAGCCCTGGTCACTTCCTAGCTGGATTACTGCAATTTCCTCTGTAAGGATGATTCAGGAGGTCCATCTGGAAATTATAACTGGTCCCAAAATGCAGCAACTGGGGCTAGTTTTGGACATCTATATTTTGCGCATATTACATCAATGTGTATGAGCTTCTCTGAGTCCCAGGGGTTTTGTTGGGAGAGATACAATTCAAGGTTATTGGTGGCTATTACCCTTGAAGCCATGGATAGCTTGGATAGCTAGGTTACTTAGGCGACTGTCTTTCCTTGAGCGTACCTATCCATCACATCCAGTTACAGGTAGTCCTCGACTTTCAACAATTTATTTAGTGACTGTTCAAAGTTACAATAGCACTGAAAAAAGTGACCTATGACTGTTTTGCACAGTTACAGTTACTTTGCACCATCCTCATGGTCACATGATCAAAATCCAGATGCTTGGCAACTGGTTCATACTTACAACCGTTGCAGTGTCCCGGGGTCATGTGATCCCCATTTGTGACCTTCTGACAAGCAAAGTCGATGAGGGGAGCCAGATTCACAGATTTCAGTTTACTAACTTATCAACTGCAGTGATTTACTTAACAACTGCGGCAAGAAATACCATAAAATGGGGCAAAACTCGCTTAACAAATTCTCACTTCACAACAGAAATTTTGGGCTTGATTTTGGTCATAGGTCGAGGACTGCCTGTAGATGGATGGGTGAGCTTCAAGACTTTTCTGTTAAATGCTGTCATCTAATGGGATCTAAGACTTTCTTGCCTTCTGGAAGTGCTCGAAAACCTGGCTCTTCCACAGATATTGGGGTAGGATGAGGTTGGAACCTAACAAGATGGCATATTGATGTGTAGGAGAGTGTTGCCTTGGGATGCCATGTGTTTTTATTGCAATTAATTGGGTTTTTTTTCTGTTTTGTGTGTGGTTACTATATGGGTGATTTTATTAGTATTTTAAATAAATAAAAAGTAACTACAGTATATTGACAGAATCAAAAAGAATTTGATTATTATGAAATATTGTTTGTTTGATACAGACCAGCACCATACAATAAGTTTTCTTTTTATAATAAATCCTACTAAATGTTAAGCAGAGTTAGGGAGTTTAATGATACCATAAGTTGCGGTTAACTCAAATTGGAAATGAAAGTGTTCGAATTTGTGGCTGTGATGAAGAGAGAGGGGGAGATGTGATAAATAAAAGAAACATGATGTAACATATATTGTTACTAAACTTTTCATGTATTAAATAACATATTTCTCAGAGTCAACTACAGGTATATGCGCAAAATACAACCTGGTGTTTATTGCACTTGTTTATTGTTTTGTAGATTGCTGTAAGCTCCTTTAAGAGGAAGAGTGATAGTAATACTTCTTATCTCAGTGAACAGATGGTAGAAACCTTGTGTCGTTGAAAAAAAAAATCACAAGGGTTCCACCATCTTTAAAAACAAAACAGTATTTTAAACACAGTGACTAATAAAACGCTGAAGGTAAAAAAAAAATAAAACAGCAATGGAACAAAGTGGAAAAAAAGAAGAAGAAAAGAAACAACACAAAAAGCAAACAAAATATAAATGTATTTGGAACTTTAAGGATGAATATAAAAATGTTACCATCCCTATTAAGTACTTGCATCCACAAATTATATAGACATAAATCTTGAGATAATTCCTATTTCAGCATAATTAAAATACCACACTGATCAGCTAAGATATCAGTATAGGCTGACTTGTTCCGTGTAAGCTATTTTTGGTTTTTACCCTACAGCACGGTTGTCAAATTCGATCGTGTCACGTGACGTATCATGATGTATCGTGACTTTTTTGCCTTTGCAGAGCTGGAGTGAGCATGGCCTGCATGTGATGTATCTAGCCCGCGGGCTGCCAATTGTCAGGCCTGCACAATGTTTGCAAACATCACAGGTCTACCTAATCTCCAAACTGGTGCCCATTAGGAGTTCTGTAGCCTTAATGTATAAGTCTAAGCAGGGAATTATTGACTTTGTTTGCCAAGTGAAACAAGATTGCAGTTCAGGGAGGTTGGCAGTAGTTGCTAACATGACCATCAGAAGATAGGCAGTGTAGAGATTCCAGGGGAAGGAAGGTACATTTGGATGCAGAAAAAAGTCAGAAACCAAGATTTCTGGGTTTTATTTTTAGGCGGAAAGGGTGATGAGAGGGAATGTAATTGGCATGGGCTTCAAATTAGATTCTAGTTCTGAGGAGAAAATGAGGTTACAGTAAAAAAATAGAATAGAGATTAAGTAGAGTCAAATGTTATCCTTGATCCATTTTTATTTTTCAGCCCTGCAGCTAATGCAATTGTATATCTGTTTCTCTCCTGTTTCTTATTTTCCTAGCAGGAATTCACTATTAATACAATAATACAATATATAAGTTAATGAATTATTTGGAGTTTTTTTTTTTATTAAAATGTAACTGAACTTGGCTCATGAATTCTCCTTGCTTCCTTCAGGCATGACTGCTGGGAAATTGGAATATTTGTTATAACCAAACCCTACCTGTGATTAATCTTGACAGAGTTTCTTTAAGGGAGGGCCAGCATCATACTATTACCTGAATTTAGTGTGCTTCAGTAAACCATATAATTTTCCAGCTTCCTGCTTTTGATAAATGGCAGAATAAGGGAGGAGTAAGAGGAATACATGCATACAAAGGCCATTTATATACCTTTAATAATATATCATCATTAGGCTTATGCTTGTGTGAATATTAATAATTTAGTTTAATAAAAAATAAATGCTAACTTTTACAAATTTGGATTAGATTTAGATTTAGTTTTCAACAACTAAGAGGTTCTTTTAAAAAACAAGTTTAAACATTTAAATCAGGGCTGTCAAACTCGCAGCATGCAGGCTGAATTCCTCAAATGCTGGCCACGCCCACACCTGGTTTAGCGAAGGGGGGGAAAGATCATGATACGTCACGTGACAACGCTGTGATGATGCAAGTTTGATACCCCTGAATTAAATGAACTGCAGGTAGCCCTTGACTTACAACCACAATTGAGCCCAAAATTTGACAAACAAAGACAATTGGGGAAGTTGGGTTTGTTTAATGGCCATGTGACACATTAACAACCATGATGATTCATTTAACAACTGTAATTAAAATCAGGTTTTGTCACATGATAACTTGTTTAATGACCGCATTGCTTAGCAACTGAAATTCCACTCCCAATTGTGATTGTAAGTTGAAGACTACCTATATTGCATTATAGTTGCTGCTTATTTAGAGACCTTGGTGCTACTCGTTGCAATTATAATATTTTTAGGGAAGGGGTAAAATTGTTGAAAGGGTTTAACTTGCATTTTTTTTTTCTTCCTTTTGCCTAGTTTACAGCACCAGGATATTTTCAAGGCTTTTGCGATTTCAGAAAGGAATCAAAGGGACAGAGACAAAGATGAATGTTGGTAGTCTAATGACCTCACATGTAACTTTTTTGCCATGCTTGCTTTGCAGAGTGACCGAGGCAGCTGGTCAGTCCTGGACCACCTGGGTCTGGACCAGAGCTCAGATTTTTCAGACACCAGTGTGCAACAGAAATTGGATGAAGAGAAAGAGAAAATTAAACGTGAGATCCGCAAAGAACTGAAAATAAAGGAGGGAGCAGAAAATTTGCGCAAGGCTACAACCGACCGTAAGAATCTCTCCAATGTGGAAAACTTGCTCAAGAACTCCAACCGCAAACTGGAGACGTTGCATCACCAGCTTCAGGATCTCAATGCACATATTGTCGTCAAGGACCCTGAAGAACTGGGGGGTGAGTGTGCTAAATTTTGGAAGTGGGAAAGCATGGATTAGATACTACAGGTGCAGAGAGAAGCAGTGATATAGAAAAAGAACTAAAAGAAAATCACACAAATTGTTGTCAGCTCTTAGTAGAAGAGGCACATTAAATTTCCCTAGAAGAGTTTTATGGCATTCTTAATCTGAGTTTTTAGTGGTTTCTTTGGTTAGGAAAGAAACAACCAGCAACGCCTTTTTGAAAACTGTTGGCTGATAGGAAAATTAGGCAATACCCTGGTAATGTTTGTGTTTGTCTCTGATATAACGGCTGGCACTTCAAAAGAAGCAATTACTTTGTCAAAAATTGTGCATTACTTATTTAACAGGATCTGATAGCATCTCCATATATTCTCCAGGGATTTCCTAGTACATTTTGTGTGTGTGTGGTATATTGTATGTGTGAGAGCCAGTTTGGTCTAGTGGTTAAGGCACCAAGCTAGAACGAGACTGTGACTTCTAGGCCTGCATAAAAGTTGGCTGGGTGATTTTGGCCCAGTCCTCTCTCAACTCACAATGTCAGGCTCAGGCAACAAAGCCAGTCAGTCAATTCCTGTTGCAACTAAGTGTTGATCCCCCTTCCCAAAATGTAGACCCTGCACTTGTGGGGAAACACTAGGAAGGAAAAAAATGGTAGTAACCTGTGTATGCATGAGTATATGGAACTTGGAAATTTATCTTATCTCTGTAGACTTTCCAACACTGAAAGTAAAGGCACTTATTTGAAACCAAATACTTTGAGATTGATAAGAATGCAGCTCTGATTTGTAATACGTGTCTCATAATAATAAATTCTTCCTGCGTGAGTAATAATTCATTTGAATTATTGTTCAAGTTCTTTAACAAATTGAATTTAGTTACAGATAGGTTGATGTGTCTAGCCTATTATTTATTTATTGGTGTATTCTTTCATTTTAGCTTACTTACTAGATTTATATCCTGCCTTTCTTTCAAGAGCAACAAATGATGTGTGTAGCATCCCCTTTTCCTGTTTTTCCCCACAGTAGCAATCTCCCTTTGACATAGGTTGGATCAGTGTTTCTTAACCTTTGCAGTTTGAAGATGTGTGGACTTACACACACATCTGCCCAAAAGAGTCCACTTGAGCTTTCATGACTTGGAACTTGAGGTACAACGTTTCTGACTATTCAGATAATCAGATAATCAAAAGAGCTAGCAGAAGAAAAAAAAATCATTAAAATGCATGTATATAGATTAAAAAATATTCAAAGTGCTTTCCATCCCTCTGCTCCAATCTACAGCATTTGTCTTCCCTCTAAAATTTTGGGCTGACTAGTTTCCTCCTCTTTGTTTTAGTTATTATGGATTGTGACAGTGGCTCATTTTATATGGTAGATTATGGGGATTGTAGCCGGATAATCCAGGAGTAGTAGCTGTTGAAAAATCAACATATTACTATCAGAATCAATTTATTTTTATTTATTAAACAAATTGATATAGCTGCCCAATTCATACATAGGTGACTCCAGACAACTTATAACATCCATCCTTCCATCACCTATCTAAAAATCAATATACTTTTATTATTATGCATGCATTTTTATATTTGTGTTAGTTTTCACATTTATATTTCTATGAATGAGATCTGTCAGCCACTTTTAGTATTTTAAAAAAATACAAAGTATTAACAATCATTTATTAAGTAAAAATATCACTTGGGTTGTGCTAAACTTAGGTGTAATATCAGTATTTTAACTATATTTTCTATCTGGTTCTATATTTTAGAAAAGCACATGAAAAGAATTAATGTTAATAATCCAGATTCAGTTTGCTTCATCTGCTACAGTTAACACACAGTTCCAAAACCAAATGATTTCCTTATGTTATAGTTAGCATTATGAAACTTTAATAGAAATTGTTTAGTTGCCAAGGATTCTTTCTAAAAGCTCTTTGTATAAATCTACACTCCAGTTAGTTGGCAAGTGAAGCCTGAGAGTTCAGAAGGGCAGCAGACTTGATGAATGTTTTTTCCTCCCTTGCTTAGGGCTACCCAATCTGGGATGCGAACCACCAGATTTGGATAGTAGCACAGTGATACAGAATAATCTAACTTTGACATCTGGTGGTCATCTGAAACAGATCAGGTGGCTCTACTGTTTCACTGTCCAGTTTTTATTCCAGCCATTTCAGAGATGTGGGTAACAGAAAGATAAGCTCTTGATCTTCTCAGGCAGGAATTAATCTTATGGGACAAAAAGAAGCAGAAGGAATATGCCATCTCCTATTGATGTTGTAGAGATTAAGCGAAATCAAGATGGTGCCCCTGAATTCTTTGTGTAGACCTGCTTGTGTTTCTGCTCTTATCTTTCTTGTGGAATCTTGGCCCTGCATCTTTTAGTAGAAGGTTCAGGAAGGCAAGAACTATGCTGTACACAACTAGGACTGCATCATATGTGGAAGCTGCTGAGACTTTATCAAAGAGGAAGTGGCTGCTATTGTACCTGACTCCACTCTAAAATACATGCCACAAAATGGAGGAGGAGAGAAGTTCAGAGAGTAAACAGCTGGATTAGAAATAGTTTGGTACATGGGTGTGGCGATTTCCTCTTCACTGGTGGAAGTAATGATTTTGGGCCCAGAATTCAGAACTCCTGCAAACAAAAACAAGAAATGCTACACTGAACTTTATAAGCTTTGGGGAATTGCTACTGTGATGTATTCTGTGCACCTACAGCCACTACTGATGAGAGGAGAGAATTTTAACTAGATTAATGCTAGACCCTGACTCCATTTAGTCCTAAAAATTGCATATTCTGTGGGATTACCCATTCTAAAATCATCCCATGATGCCCTGTCTTAAAAGATATGAGTTGGTCCTTTTCTTTAATCAAGACTCTGGTAGCACTTTTTTGAATAACACGTTTTATTGAAAGTCATAAGTTTTGGGGAGCTACTGTTCACATCAACAGCTCATTAGTGAAATGAGCTATTATTCCCCCCGCAAAGTCTTTTTTAAAGCATTTTTATCCTTCCCTTATTATTTTATAAGTAACTCAAGGTGGTGAATATACATAATATTGTACTGCTTCCTATTTTTCCCACAACAACAATCCTGAGAGGTGGATTGGTTTGAGAGACAGAGACTGGCCCAAAGTCATTCAGCTAGCTTTTATGCCTAAAGCAGAACTAGAATTCACAACCTTCTAATTTCTAGCCCAGCACCTTAACAATTATACCACATTTACACCTTTTAATAAAATGTGTTAATTGGAAAAAGCACTACCAGATTCCCTTTGGTTTTTTTTCTACCAGAGGCTACCATGATTCTATTCCACTAAAGTCTATAACAGGAAGCTACTTTTCTTTAAAAGTTTTGTTCTAGTTGGCCTCCTTTACTGTACAGCAAGTAACCTAATTACCAAGCAGTAAATACCAAGCCATTCTATCAGTCTTTCTTAAGAATAAGCATCTAATTTCATAGTTACATTTTTTCCCTCAGGAAATCAAAAGGAGAGAAAACATTAGTTCCAAAATTTATGATCTTACTACCATCTAATGCTGGATCCATGATATTTTGTGGATCCGGCATTAGACGGTAGTAAGGTCATAAATTTCCAATTAATTTCCAATTAATATCATCTAGGACCCAAAATGTACAGAGATAGAATATAAATTATATAAATGCTCTAATAGAGTAGCAGTGTCCACAGAATATAGATAATATATGTATTATAAAAAAAATCTCCTTCATGGTTTTATTTATTAATTACAGGTGAAACTCAAAAAATTAGAATATCGTGCAAAAGTTCATTTATTTCAGTAATGCAAGGTCAAACTAATATATGAGATAGACTCATTACATGCAAAGCAAGATAGTTCAAGCCGTGATTTGTCATGATTATGATGATTATGGCTTACAGCTCATGAAAACCCCAAATCCACAATCTCAGAAAATTAGAATATTACATGCAATCAATAAAACAAGGATTGTACATAGACTAATATCGGACCTCTGAAAAGTATAAGTGTGCATATGTACTCAGTACTTTGTTTGGGCCCCTTTTGCAACAATTACTGCCTCAATGCGGTGTGGCATGGAACCTATCAGCCTGTGGCACGGCTGAGGTGTTATGGAAGACCAGGATGCTTCAATAGCGGCCTTCAGCTCTTCTGCATTGTTCGGTCTCATGTCTCTCATCTTTCTCTTGGCAATTCTCTATGGGGTTCTGATCAGGCGAGTTTGCTGGCCAATCAAGCACAGTAATCCCATGGTCATTGAACCAGGTTTTGGTACTGTTGGCAGTGGAAAATGCTGAAAAATGAAGTCAGCATCCCCATAAAGCTCGTCTACGAAAGGAAGCATGAAGTGCTCCAAAATTTCCTAGTAGATGGCTGCATTGACTCTGGACTTAATGAAGCACAGTGGACCAACACCAGCAGATGACATGGCTCCCCAAATCAACACAGACTGTGGAAACCTCACACTGGACTTCAAGCATCTTGCAGTGTGTGCCTCTCCATTCTTCCTCCAGACTCTGGGTCCTTGGTTTCCAAATGAGATGCAAAAGTTTCTCTCATCAGAAAAGAGGACTTTGGACCACTGAGCAACAGACCACTTCTGTTTTTCTTTAGCCCAGGTGAGACGCTTCTGACGTTTGTTGTTCAGGAGCGGCTTGACAAGAGGAATACGATATTTGAAGCCCATGTCCAGGATCCATCTGTGTATGGCGGCTCTTGATGCACTGGCTCCAGCCTCAGTCCACTCCTTGTGAAAGTCCCCAACACTTTTGAATGCCCTTTTCCTGACAATCCTCTCCAGGCTGCGGTCGTCCCTGCTGCTTGTGCACCTTTTTCTTCCACATTTTTCCCTTCCACATAACTTTCTATTAATATGCTTTGATACAGCACTTTGGGAACATCCAACTTCTTTTGCAATTACCTTTTGAGGCTTTCCCTCCTTATGGAGGTTGTCAGTGGTGGTTTTCTGCACAACTGTCAGGTCAGTCTTTTCTATGATTGTGATTCCTACTGAACCAGACTGAGAGACCATTTAAAGGCTCAGGAACCCTTTGCAGGTGTTATGGCTTAATTAGCTGATTAGAGTGGAACACTTTGAGCCTAGAATATTGAACCTTTTCACAATATTCTAATTTTCTGAGATTGTGGACAGAGTAAAAACTTAGAATTCTATTAACCCTCAAAAAACAAAACAACAACTCTAAGTTGATTGAATCTTACTATTTTTTCTTGTGGCCTCATTGGAAATGTGTTCTTCAGTTGAGAAAATAGTGTGATAAATTCTATTGCTAGATTTGACATACAGTATTTCAATTGTTTAACCTTTTACACTTAATGAAATAATAACATGTTCTGTTTGTCTCTCAGTTCATCACTTTCAAGTAAAATATGTCCTGCGTTAAGTCCTTTTCATTCAGATAGGGCTCTTTCTCTGCACTAATAAGATGCAGCTGCTTTGTAACCGGCATTACCTGTTTTATGGGATTATATTTGTGAAGGCCTGTGATTTAAACCAGGATATTTGCTTTTATGAGTTTGGCATAGTTATTAAATATACCAAGCTAGAAAAGCAGGGAGATTATAAGTTCTAGTCCTCCCTAAGCTAGGAAGTCAGTGGGATGGTTTGGGGCCAATTTTTCACTTTCGGCCCTAGGAGGAAGGCAGCGTCAAAGCACTTCTAAAAATGTTGCCAATAGTGTTGCATGGACTTGTTCATTCAGACTGACTCCAGGCACAGAAACATAAAATCCTTTAATATGTGATACTAGTATATTAGTCAAAAGGTAGACTACACTAAGAAATTTGACCATTATTTGTAGCAGCTCTTCCTTCTTCCTTTCAAGGCTACTCCCTATGTCCTCCACACATATTTTAATTTTGTGCCCTATAATTCATGAGGTTATCAAGGTATCTAAAATACCACTTGAAGTAATATTTTAAAAATAAGGCATAAAACCGTAATTAGCGGTAAAAATAATTGAAAAAAATAGAGTACCAAAATATGTTTTCCTAGACTAGTATTCCTAATCGGACTGGTTAACTACCACTTTTATTATCTATAGTAGCTGAGGAATGATAGGCATTGTAATCCTACACATTTAATTCTGCGGCTATGAAAGAACATAAAAAACACTTTCTACATTTTAGACACAAAAATCATTTTAAAATTTGTTTACAACAGACGTCTATTGACAAGTCTTCAGGAGAACATTTGAAAATTGGATTACTAGTACTGCAAAGGTCCTCTTCCAACCATAACAAAGTAAAAGTATTTGACTGTTGATTATTGGGAGTAAGTAGATAGGCCTGTTGTGATCTTTGAAAGTCAAAGAAAATTTAAAATGTGCACTCTGAATTATGGTTAAGCAGAAAAGCTAGAAACTGGGAGCATGAGTTCTAGCTCTGCCTTAAACATGGAAAACCAGCTGGTTGATTTTGAACCAGTCACTTCTCTCAACCTCATCTCACAGGGTTGTTGTTGTGAGGAAAATAGAAGGAGTAAAGTTAACCCTTGACTTAACAACCACTTGTTTCTTTGACTGTTCAAAGTTGCAACAGCACAGACAAAAATGACTTATGACCATTTTTTATACTTACAACCCCATGATCATGTGATCAATTTTCAGAGACTTGGCAACTAGATCATATTTATGATGTTTGCAGTGTCCCAGGGTAATGTGATCAACTGTTGTGAAATTTTGACAAGCAAAGTCAATGGGGAAACCAGATTCATTTAACGACTGGGTTACTAACTTAACAACTGCAGTGCTTCACTTAATAGCTCTGGTAGGAAAAGTTGTAAAATGTGGCAAAACTCACTTAACAATTGTCTTGCTTAGCAACAGAAATTTTGGGCTCAATTGTAGTCATAAGTTGAGGACTACCTGTATTAGGTATGTTGAGTTATTCATCAAAATAACAAAGGCAGATTATAAAATAATAAGTGAGCAAGAGACTAAGAGTATTTTGAAAATATATTACATTATTTCTCCAAATAAATTGGGTAGACTTCTTCTTTTAAGTTATTGTGTTTACTTACATTTCTTTCCTACCTAGTTGAGTTATTGACCTGCCCAAAACTTTGCAGAGGTTAGACCATTTCTTGGTGGACATTCTGGCATTCAAATCGAAGATAGCAAAATCCAAAATATTGGGGTGGAAAGGTAGGATGATCAAGTAAGAGATCAACTAGAAAGTGTTAATGGGGAAAGGAGAAAAAGAAGGAATGAAAAGAAAGTTTTTAAAAAAACCCACAATGTGGAAGAGAATCGGAGAGGGGAAGGATGAATATTTCTTTCCCATATGTCAGATGACCTCAGCACAGCGAACCTTCCATTCTTCTAGACTTGTGACACTCTCTCTTTACTTTCTGTTCAGAAATTCAGATGGTTCTTTTTTAGGATGTGCGTCCCGCTCATATTAATATCTATGATTGATCCCATTTTAGATGCCCCACAATCACCAGGCAGCCTCAGCCGATCAACAGCTACTAAAAGTCGTATTGCTGGTCTGGAAAAGCAGCTCAACATTGAGTTGAAGGTGAAGCAGGGAGCAGAGAACATGATCCAGATGTATGCCAATGGTGCTGCTAAAGTATGTTTGTTTTCCTCTCCGCTGTCGTCTTCCTCTAAGCAAAGGCATTTCATGCAATATTTCTGCCCATACAAAATAAATATCTGCATCACTGCCCTCAGCCTGATAAAGAATCTGATTACCTATCTAAGTCAGTGTTGCCTGTTTTGGTGGGTCCGTTTTCTTAAAAATGTTAATAAGTTTTTTCCCAAACCAAAGTAACCAAAAAACATTTCAATGAGAATTCATATCAGCATCCCTGGTTGCCCTTAGATTTTTTTTCCTGCAAAGTAACAAACCAATGTGCTGATTTCCAAAGTTTCTTAGATAAGTACATAATTATCCCTGTGTCGATGCTCAACATATCTGCCATTAGAAACCTTTAGAATACACTGTTCTAAAATGTTTAAACAGTTTATAGCACAAGAGAGCAAGCAGCTTCTGATAACTGCTACTTCAAGGGATTCAAGTTACCTTGAAGTAGTACATTCCCTTGCTTTGCAAATAGAAACAAAAACATCTCAACATTCTCTTGGGAAAGGGAAAAAAAAAACCTCATTTGGGGATTAAGCTCATTTGGGGGTTAACCCTCTATGGTTAAGCTGGAAGAAGCTTAGCAGGCCGACTTCTTCCTGTGAACCATCCTCAGTTCAAAAAGATCTGGAAAAATGCTTTTTAAAATAGCAAATGAAATGGTGTAGCCCATGCCTTTGCAACTTGTGGTCTAAATTTCATATATAATTAATCCTATTCCATATGCTGATCTTTATGATCCAGAAGATAAATATTGATTGAATTGATCTCAATGCTGCATTTTAGCATCCACGAACTTTGACAGAGGCCGATTCTTCTAGGAATCCTGTTTTAGTTCCTTTGGCATCAGGGATGCTTGCATTTTGCAGTTATGGTTTCTCTCAATTTGAGAACTCTGAATTTTAGAGTGTTCTTTAAAAAAAGAATTATTTTGGAAACAATTTTGTCTGGAAAAAGTAGACAGTTCTTGTAATTAAGTGAAAACCCAATAAAATTCCTGCATTCCCGCTCCATTAGCAACATGTGGAGGATAACAGTATGAGTCCCCAGGTTTGGGAAGTGATTATTTATTTATTTATTTATTTAATCAATTTATATAAGCAATAGCACTTAGACTTATATACTGCTTCATAGTGCTTTACAGCCCTCTCTAAGCGGTTTACAGAGTCAGCATATTGCCCCCAACAATCTGAGTCCTCATTTTACCCACCTCAGAAGAATGGAAGGCTGAGTCAACCTTGAGCCTGGTGAGATTCAATCTGCCAAATTGTAGGCAGCTGGCTGCAGCAGAAGTAGCTTGCAGTACTGCACTCTAATCACTGCGCCACCGAAGCTCTGTATAACCATACATTTGTCACACGACTCAGGATGGTGTACGTCATTAAAGAACAATGATACATTCAATAACACTATGTAATAAAACAGACGAAAAAACCCCAGAATATGTTATATACTGCAGACACATAAAGTGCCAGAGGGGGAAAAAAATCATCCAATGGGTCATACTGGTCAAAGACCCAATGCTGAAGTGGGAGAAACAGGTTCTTTAATGCCTTCTCAAAGGCAGCATGGTTAAGGTCAGTTAGATCTCAGTCAGAATGCCGTTCCAATGGCCAGAAGCAACAACTGAGAAGGCATATCTCCTGGGTTCTGTCAGATTGATTGATTGATTACATTTTGGAAGACTGCCCAACTCTTGCTGGATGGGCAGAGTTAATGAGATATAATTATTGGATATAATAATTGTTAATACTCTGGAAGGCAATCCAATTTATTCTGTGTGTATTCTTATAGCTTCTGTCTGTCTGTCTCAAACCTATTGCCAGCTACATTGGTTTTGTTGTGATTTTCAGTACTTTTCTTCTATTGGAGAGAATTCAATCCAACCCTTTGGTCTTCCATCTAGGATCGGAAGTTGCTGCAGACAGCCCAGCAAATGCTACAAGATAGCAAAACCAAAATAAATATTATCCGCATGCAGATTCGCAAGGCTGTGCAAGCTGATGAGGTGCAGCTGACTTTGGAAGATGGGCAAGGTGAAGGAAAGGATGAAGAAGAAACCCCTGTTTGCTGCAAGCTCTGTTTATGCTATAGCCAGGCTATAACTTCAGAAAAGCCAATGTCCGTGTTTCCCTCTCAAACCCTTCAGGAACTGTGAGATGATTTAAAGTCCCGTCTTTTCCCCACCTGATGTGAAACCCCTATTTCTGGGTCTGGATACAGGTCTTTGGGTTTTCCTCTGGAGCTAAGTACACATTAGGCACAAAGGGATCTGTCATTCTTTTAAGCCAAGGATCCCTTTTTGGATAAAATTTAAGAGCATGTCAAAGAGACAAAATGGTTGCTGTGGAGGTAGGCAGTCACAATAAATCCATTTATGTTTATATCCTATCAGTGAGGCTGTTCTCTATATTTCTTCCAGTTCCCTCCAACTTTGGAGGTTCCTTTGCTATTATTTGTAAGCAAATAGTCTTACTTCCAATAGAGCACTGGACTATATTCTTCCATTGTGTTTATTTTCTAAGAATATATTTGGAATGTACATATTCTGGGAAGTACATAGCTAAGGCTGGCAGTGAACTAGGGAAATTGTAGGTGCCATATTAGGGCCCTGGTGCTAAGCATACAAATGGAGATAGACTGACTTTTTCATGTTCCTTGCAGGAAACACAGATCTAAGCGCCATAGAATTGAGAATTGAGGAGCTTCGCCATCACTTCCAAGTAGAATATGCTATATCTGAGGGTGCCAAAAACGTACTGCGCATTCTGAGCTCCAGCAAAGTTCAGGATCGTCATGCTATTTCTGAGGTAATGGTGCATTTCCCTTGGTTGGTATTGTATAATAAAGATACATAAAATGGTTGAAGAAATGAAGTAGTAAGCAATTCAGTGCTGCTGTAAATTATGTGAGTTTGAAAACTTCTTTTTCCAATTATGCCATTCTGTGACATATATTTGCAAGTTTTGTATCAACTGTTCCCTGACTGGTATTTCTAGATGTTTTTAGCATTACATGTAAGCATTCTCAGTCGGTGTGCATATTGTTTAAACACAACTTTGTGTGCTAGATAGGCTCAGTCGTCTTTAGACTAAGCACTGTGCCTGACTTTTGGATGGAGTCTTAAAAATATCAATTTAGACAAAAGATGCATTTGATTAAATTAAATTAATATGACTTTCTCATTATATTTAATATCCCACTTCTGGCATATTAAAAATTCCAGTTCAAAGACAACGTTTGTGTCTGTCCTGGGTCATGGGAAGTCTAAACAAACAAACATTTGAAGTGGGTCACAGTTGACATTTTGGGAGGCCACTGTTGCTCTGAAGCCTCACTTTGTATGCCCCTCGTCAATTAATCCCTCAAAGAAAAAAAAAGCAATTAGTTTTTGCCAAAGAAGTTGTGACAGGTTTATTCATTGTCAGAACATTTTCATCTAAGTTCTAATAATTGCTGGAGAAGAGTTAAAAAACAAAACCATCCCATCGCATACTTTGCTCTTATAAATTTTCCTATAACCTTTACCATGGGTTCAGGGAATACTGCACTTTGATTTCCCACTTACAAGCTCTGTAGCTGCGTTACAACCTAGAACCCAACAGCCCACTTGGTAAAGAATTAAGGATTGTGTGCCACAGGGTGCTGAGTCTATATATCATTGTTAATATGTCAGGCAGACTGTCTTGCTTTGGAAGCAGTGCGGAAATGGAAGAAGAATATAAAATGGGTTGTTGCTAGGCTGAGCCAAATTGGTATCTGATGATCTGGACCTTTGCTGTAGGCACAGACCAAGCTGAACGAATCAAGCCAGAAGTTGGATCTTTTGCGATATTCTCTGGAACAACGTCTGGCTGAACTGCCTGAAGATCATCCAAAGGCCTGCATTATCAAGGAGGAACTCATCTTGGCCTCCTCTCCTGCCTTCAGTGCCCGCAATACCACTTCCTACCAGCATAACCAGTATAATACCCTATCAAAGCCATCTCCACTCACAGGTGACTGCACTCCCCCTCCCCGTGGGCATAGGTTGGGTCAATCTATTGCCAGGATGTTTCAGTTTAGTTTTGGACTATGTTTAATTCTACCCGAGCCCTTTAAGAAAGTGATATAAAAATGAAATTGCAATCATAATTGTTAATAACAGCAGCAATCAGGTCATTCCACTTAATCAATATCCCCCATTTCATACAATAATTGTTTTGTCTACTTTCTAATCCATTCTTAATGTATCCAAGTGAGATAATAGGATTTTTTTTTTTGGCCCAATCTCTTGCTCACTCTCTTAAGGCTCAAAGAAAGTATTGTTTTTGTTTCAAAACTTTCCAGATTTTGGTTCTTAGCAGTTTCTCTTTGGCAGGGACCCTGGAAGTGCAGTTGTTGGGCTGCAGTGGATTGCTGGAGGTTGTCCCAGGACGTACCCGTGGCTCCACTGTCTGCCTGCCTTGCAACAGTCCTGGGGAAGCACGGCCTTCATTCATGAGCCGCAGCGGACGAGGGCTGTACAATCGCAGTGGTAGTGTAAGCGGCAGGACCACCATCAAATCGGAAGATACCAGCAGTAAGTAGTCTTGAGGGTGATCGGCACTAAAATGAGAGAGTGAATAAGAGAGATGTAGATATGTTTTAGTGCTGTATTGGTGTTAATGCAGTTAAGTCAGCATGAAATGAAATCCTTTTATTCAGCTCTCAATCTTATTTGCTCTTTCTCAACATTCCAATTGTTCCTCTTGTAGATGAAGTAAGTGCTGTATTGAAGCTGGACAATGGAGTTGTAGGCCAGACCGCTTGGAAATCCATTGGCCTACAAGCTTGGAACCAGGTTTTCACAGTCGAATTAGAAAGGGTACGTGCGGAGATGGTGCCTTTTTAATGGGCTTCAGATACCAGATCTTTGCTGTATAAACATCTCTCTACTCATATCTCTGTGGCAAAGAAGTCACGTTAGTCACATGAGTAATAACTGATGGGAGAGGAGTTATTATAGAAATTATTTCATTCTGCATTCTAATTAACGTATTTCATATTTATTAAACTGCATCTGTTCATAATGATCTTGGTACCACCATTCTTCAGATAAATAGGGGTGAAGCACCTGTTAACTGATTATTAGGAAATGATTTGGATTTCACTGTAGGAGTGGTGGATGTGTTGTAGAGACAATGTCCACTTGCTGCTGATCTTTTTAATGAGTTCCTTTTCTCCATATCAGTCAAGAGAGCTGGAGATTGGTGTCTATTGGCGTGACTACCGCAGTCTCTGTGCCCTGAAATACCTCAAGCTGGAAGATTTTCTTGATAATGAACGCCATGAAATTCACCTGGAGTTGGAGCCACAGGGCACTCTGTTAGCAGAGGTAACAAAACAAAACAAAAAAGATTAGCATCAAGCTGGGTGGGAAACAACTGACATTCTAGTATTTAGATTATTTTAGTTGAGTGAATGGATAGAAATTGTTGAAATCCAAAAAGAGGACGCGGTGGCTCAATGGCTAAGACGCTGAGCTTGTTGATCAGAAAGGTCAGCAGTTCGGCAGTTTGAATCCCTAGCACCACATAATGGAGTGAACTCCCATTACTTGTCCCAGCTTCTGCCAACCTAGCAGTTTGAAAGCCTGTAAAAATGCAAGTAGAATAATAGGGACCACTTTGGTGGAAAGGTAACAGTGTTCCATGCACCTTCGGCATTTAGTCATGCTGGCCACATGACCACGGAGACGTCTTTGGACAGCACTGGCTCTTCGGCTTTTTAACAGATATGAGCACCGCCCCCTAGAGCCAGAAACGGCTAGCATGTATGTGCGAGGGGAACCTTTACCTTTACCTAGCAACAATATATCCCAAATATTGTCCTGTAATACTTTTATACAGTGAATGGATTTAAACAATGGCGACTTTTATATGTGTTATCTGTACATATTACTGTTGTAGAGAGAATGAAGGGAGAGCATTATTATCTACATGCTACTGAAAAAGTATTCAGGCATCTTATTTTCCTGTTTCCAGATCTTGCTTGTGATAATTCCACCATTAATCCATGCATGCTGTATGTTTAGAAAACCACATACTTAGATATGTAATTACACAAGTTTTCCTCCCCCCCTCAAAGGGAGTAGAGTGGGGAAGACACGTGGGCCATTAGATGTCCCACCAGTCTGGCCAATGACCAGGCATAAATGGAGCTATAGTAGAGAATAATGTCTTATGGATCCTAGGATCTCATCTCTACTCAGAATCTCTACTCATTATGGAATCGGGCATTTGCTTCTTAGTTTATTCAGCCTGGAGAGAAAGTCTATCCCTTATCCCATATTGATACTGCACTGTATTGGAGTGAAAAGGATTCTTTATATTAAAACTGTTGTGTGAGATTCTTCAGTTTGTTCACTCAGCCGGTTTGCATCATGCCTTATCAGCAATGAAGTGAAGTGGGAGTCAGGTGAAAAGAAACAGACAAAGCTTTATTTATTTGAATTTATTAGCTGCTCAGTTCCAAGGGATTCACCTTATTCCCAGAAGTCAGCAATTTTTCATGAGTGTTAAAATCCCAAGTACTTTGAGACAGCAATTCTCTCTCTCTCTCTCTCTCTCTGATTGAACAGACATGGCACTATTTCCTGTTGTGAAAATTTAGTTTTTACTAATACGTTTTGAAATAATGTTATTACTTTTAAACAATTATTTTGATACTGAGCTCTATTGCAATATGCTATTTGTGTACTGCCATTTAAAAAAAATAAGGGACAAATAAGTATCAATGCTATCCCCATCTCACATCTTTCTATTTGCAAAAATCCCCCATATTTTAATCAACCTAGTTTTTTTCTTTATGTGCACCCCCCATGTTTAATATTGGATAAGATATTCGCTGATTATCTTTGAAATATGAAGTTGCAATTTTCAGCAATCAAATCACAATATGATAATGGAATATTTTAGCTCTAGATTGGAACTAAATTGCACTAAAACTATCTGTGGAATATCTCGATGTATAATTTATTACAGTTTATGGAAAAGATAAGTGAAAATGTCCCTGTAATAAAAGCTCAGCCTTAAAAAATGAACATGTAACTGTGGAATTACTGAGCAAAATTGTCAAATAGTTTGGAACAACATTATTATTTTTGAGGTCCTACACATTACATAATGATAAATTTCAAATCATTACAACATAATGGATTGTAATGGATAAATATTTCATCCTTTTAATATTGGTCAGTTATAATGGAACCTTTTATTTTATGGAAAATTTTGCCGTCACAAACAATTCACATTACACATAATTAACACTATCCTTGAAATGCTAAGTGAAGTAAAAATATTTTAGTTTCATTTTGCTTCATTAATTAGGTTAAAGGTTCTTATCCTGTCCAGTTGTTACTCTCCAGAAGCCATACAAGTCATGCTTGCTTGTAGACTCTTGAGGCGTTAGCATGGGATTGGATCCCATACTTTGTATTCTCAGACATACTGCTAAGATTTTATTATAATATATTCTTATTATTCCAAGCTTTCATTTTTTAAAGATCTTTCTCTATGGCCTTAATCATTTTGGGATTGTGTTTATTTTATACTTCAGCCAGGTGGAATTCACTTTGAATTTATTAAAGATAAAGAGGAGTAGGAAAGTCTTCATAAATTAATATGTGTGATTTCTGGTTATAGGTTTGTATTTTAATGTAGTGGGTAGGGGTTTGACCCTTCAGCTAGTGTAGAAAGTGGGGAAGTAGAACTGAGGGTGGGAGCCTTGCACTCTGAGGGCTAATGTTTGATGAAATGCTGATGATGGCTAATGAGCAAGAGGAGGAGAAGGACTGAATTTCTCCTTTTAGATGGAGGCTCTTCAGCCCCAGTCAGCCAGAGGTTGCTGTTTGCATCTGGGTCAATTGAACTTGCTGAACAGCCTCAGAGCTTCAAGGCTGCTTTTCACTGCAGCAGTGTTGCAGCAGGAGCTGTTTCTCAGGATGCACTGCACCTTTGCCTGGCTTACAGAACACTCTCTTTCTGCAGGTTATCTTTTTTAACCCTGTCATTGAGCGCATACCCAAGCTCCAGCGACAGAAGAAGGTCTTTTCCAAACAGCAAGGTAAGAAATCAGATCACAGTTTGAATCTTGATCAGCCAGCTTTACCTGGTCTGCTTGGATGCTTCCTTAGTCTACAATGTTGAAGGACCGGGTCACACTGATTTCCAGCTGTGTTAGCTTTGACAGAGAAATGGCATTGGAAATAAGTGATGGAGTATCACATTGGCATATTTTTCTTGTGGAAGATCTGTTGTTGCTGTTGCATACCATGCATGGTTGTTCACATTATTCTCATTGTGTGAATGAGGAAGGATGAGGATGAGCAGGCCAGGGATGAGCTTCTCCGTTTTTTTTTTCTCCAAGGCAACATTTCCTGCTAGGATCTTGAGCAGAAAAGTAACCTATTGGCCTCGCCAATGAAATTTAGTCTTGTAACATACTCAACTATTTTTTTGCTGCATTTAAATACTACATTTCATAAGTTGAACACATCATTTTCATAAAATGGCTTCAGTAGTTGCTTTCATTAAATGTTCAATACTTGTATCGTTTATGAGAAAAATACACATGCATGGATATCTAGAAACATACATAGCATAATTTAAATATTAAGAGTACCTCAATACCTTTAATTTAACCTGATCCTTACAAAAGATCCTTTACCACAACAGCTTTATTATAATTCATACTTGGGGATAGGTTGACTGAGTTTAATGAGGATTGGGGTCCAATAACATTTGGAAGCCTTCAGGTTTCCTAGTCCATGTTGGATGGAGCTAGAAGTAAAAGGAAAATAGCTTACATTGGATATACAACAGTGGTCTGGCAGAAGGGGCATGTTACAGACCCCGTCAATGAAGGAATCTTAATGTGTATGCTTGCCATCACTTGCAAAATTCCAGCTGTTCTTCATCTGTTTCTTTCCTAGGGAAAGCTTTCTTGCGTGCTCGTCAGATGAACATTGATATTGCCACATGGGTACGTCTCCTGCGACGCATCATTCCCACTGCCAGTACTACAGGCACTTATAGCCCCTCAACGCAGATGACTCCAACATCTGGCTCAGAAAGTAGGCAGAGCTCTGGGTAGGTGTTTCTTATACTTGAAGGTGGGGGATGAACAGCTAAAAATCTAAAAATAGCTGCTGCAGCATTTAAAAACCATGTTTTCTTATTTCATATTGTACGTCTTTTACTTTGTTGCTGTTGGCTGATGAAAGAAAGCTAAGGTTTGGATATTTCTGAATACATATATTTGAGGAAAGAAAGGAGTCCCTGCAGATTTTACTCTGCTAGTCATAACTGACTATAAGGGGTGGTGCTCATCTCCTTTCCAAAGGCCATTGAGCCAATGCTGTCCAAAGATATTTTTGCGGTTGTGTGGCCAGCTTGATGTCATGGAACACTCTCTTCTTCCCACCCAAGTGGTACCTAATTAACTACTCACATTTGCATGCTTTCGAACTGTTAGATTGGCAGGAGCTAGGCCAAGACAGGAGCTCATCCCATCGAGCAATGCTTTTATCTTGAACCCGCGCTGTCCGCTTTCAGCTGACAAGCCTAGCATCTTAACTGCTGAGCCATCGCTCTGTCTGTATTTGAGGGGCTAATGTAAAATTCCTTGGGCCACAAGATATCCTGCTAAATCACCTCAGGATTATAGGCCTATAGTAAAAGTTATCCCCATGTTTAGTTTACCACATCCCTTAGTGTTGACCATGAAGGCTAGGGCTGCTTGTAGTTCAGAAACTTTTGGAAACCCATCAGTGTTTCAACCCCTTGATGTTCTGAAGTCAATACCTGAATTATCCCAACTTCTCCTCAGGTTGTATTTCTGTAGTAATTTTCCATGTAATTCTTAAGATTGGCATTTCCCCCCATCCAGGGACATTGCCATTGAGAAGTTGAACTTGGACGGGGATAGAGTTCAAATTGGGCATTTGGGCCAGGATGATCCTGAGCTTCCTGGGAAGGTTTTACTGGTAAGTGTCTCCTCTTCAGTTTGTCAGCAGTGAAGCTGCTGTTTTCTAGCAGTTACTTCTTTTTTATATTTCTATTTCTTTACAGACTTCACAAGCTGGGGAGGAGGTCTTTCAGATGGAGTTAGGTTCGGGAGGTGAGACTAGGGGATCTGAAAGTACTTTTCACAGGTAGGTGTTTTCTGCCCCCTGTTTTCTGCCATCATAGACTCTTTAATGGTTTTATCTTGCTCTTAATTACCCTTTCCTATGAAATGGTATTCCTTATATCTCTAATCCCTTGCTCTGTCAGCATATTCTAAACAGTCTGTATTGCAAATAAATGCATAGTTGTTGATACACTGATTTTTCTACCTAGGATTTTCTTCATTAAATGTGCACAGTGCATAGTGGTTCAAAAACACTAATGCATATAGTGATGTCTGAAATGAGGATATAAGTGTCACCAGTAGAATGTCTGATAATAAATGATTTAATTCCCCATCATGGCAAAATATCCACAGTGTGCTGTGCTCACTTTGCAAGCAGTGAATTATAACGGGAATTGAGCTAATATATCTCTAGGCAAAACACTGTTAATTTCCTTGTCTTTAGATGTTTCTTTGCTTCCTCTCCCTCTCCTTGACCTACATCCCATATGTGCTTTCTGATAAAATTATGTCAGTTAAATCTGGTGGTATGCCATCAATTACATCTGCATTTATTCCATATCAGTCCTTTATTCATGTGATGTACAAGATACAATTATTTTAATAAATCCCTATATAAAAAAATAAGGGTGGGTTGTTTTGCTAATTTCAATCCTACTTCTTTACCTAGTAGATGAATAATGCTTGTCTGAAACTTATTTCTTAAGCTGTTTAGATATAGTTCCCAGAATTATCTTCAGGGGTCATTGTGGCTAAGGAATTCTAAAGGCCACAAATTGGGAAGGTGATATTCATAGGAAAAAAGAATGCCCAGAGCTAAATTGTTGACTTCCTTTAACAACTTTATTTCTGTATAAGGATTTGTGTATGTGTGTTGTGGTAGAGGTGGCGGTAAGGAGCCATCCCTGACTCGCTCTTTTATTTCATAGCAGCCATCTGAGAAAAAAACCTCTCACTATGGATGACTTCAATTTTGTAGCTGTGCTAGGTCGTGGGCACTTTGGCAAAGTGAGTATTGCATGCCCCCCTCGCAGTTTTTCCCAGTATCTCTCTTTCTGAGTAAAAAAAATCTGCCTCCATCTTGATGGAAGCAGAAGCATCAATTAGTAGCAGAGTGAGAGTAAACACAGGGTGGAATGCTGCAGTCTTGGTTCCTTTCATTGTTAATACATGTTATTGTTAAGAAACAAAATAAAAGAGAGATAGAATGGTATACATTGAAACAACTCAAATTTTAAACTTAGCATTAAACCTTGACCACACAGAAAAATATTAATTAATCTTTCCATTATATCAAAAAAGAACTAATTCCTAAACAGAGAGCAACCAACTAATACCAGTTCAAGATTATGAATCCAGATACTACATTTGATCTTAGTCAAAAATTCTTGGAAGCACTGTCTTTTTCTATCATAAATGAGTAATACACACACACACACACACACACACACACACACACACACAGAGAGAGAGATAAAGCACAGGACAGTTAAAGCCCCTATTATTATACTTTTTTACATTAAGAAGATTTAATGCATGGTTCTTATAAAAAACATTCTTAATAATTTATCATGTTGTTAAGCAGAATGTGGAGGAGGCTATGGGAGGCCCCAAGGAATGGGGGAAGCTTTGGGAGTCCCAGGGCCCATTGGCACACAGAAACCTTCTGTGGGCTAGGAGGCATCGGGCGGTCCAGGGACTATAGTGCATATGAAGCTACCACAGTCCTGCAGGCCTTCAAATTGTTCTCCACCCAGCCATGCGTGGGAGCCCACAGCCAGTTCCAGGGCTACTGGGACATATAAAGCTGCTGTAGCCCTGGACCTGCTCCTCTTCTAACAGTGTGGGAGCCTCAGCTGGCTCTTGGGGCTACCAGCACATATGAAGCTGCCACTGCCCTAGAGGCCTTGCCCTGCTCTCCGTCCAGTCACCCAGCACTCAACTTAACCTTTCATTTTTCAGAAGCTTTTGACAGACACACCAGCCAATAGGAGAGATGGGTCTTCCTACAGAGGCGGCCTCATGCCATTCTATAAATGGGTGCTATTTTTGTAAACCTTTGGGACTCAAATCAGGGATCTCCAACCATGGCAACTTTTAAGATTTGTGGACTTCAGTTCCCAGAATTCCCCAGCCAGTCATGCTTGCCTGGAAATTCGGGAGTTGAAGTCCACAAGTCTTAAAGTTGCCATGGTTAGAAACCTCTGCATTAGGAGGCTCTCTCTTAAGGAGGATTAAGTATCATCAGAATAGTGCCCATTTTGTGTGCTGCTTGAAGCCAGGACTCTCAGTGCTGAGAATTTTTACGCACCATGACTCAGTTGTCAGCATGCCACTTTATATTGCAAAGGTCATAAACGTGTGTTACCATTTTGCTTTAAAGGTCATAAAAATGTCAGTTTGAAGTGAATTGTATTATGAGGCTTTCATGTTTTTTGAAAATTACTTCAAGAGGTTCTCCAGGCTACAAAGATGATCTACATCGGGGTGTCAAATCTGCTCGCATCACGGGCCATATCATGACATATCGTGATGTTTTTTGCCTTTGTGGAGCTGGGGTGGGCGTGGCCTGCCTGGACTGTATCTGGCCTGTGGGCTGCCAGTTTGACAGGCCTGATCTACATAAACCATCTAATTCTGTATACATTCTTCCAGTGTAACCTCAGTATTATAAACTTGGGAGTATATTTTTAAAAACAGTTTATTAGATCAGAATCATATACTTTGTTCTGGACATTCTAATGGTAGAATTGATGCTCTTTGGTTGTTGTCATTTAATGAAGATTGTGTATCAAATGCATAAAAGGAGTTAAGTTCCAATTTATTTGGCATAATAGATTTATGCAGTTCCAATATAGGTTCTCTTACATATGTTCTAAAAGCTCCTAAACTTTATTTTCCAACTATTTTAGGTGTTTTATTTTTCCCTGAAGCATGTTCAGTCATATGGCTCCAAATATATGCCTTAAATATAGCCAAATCAACCATTATGTTTTTAGAATGTTTATTTTTTAAAAAAATTAAGTCATATTTTATTGGTTTTCAGTTAATCCTTTCATAACATATACTGTATGTATCTTGGAAAAATAGGATGACATTTTTTTTACAATAAATGTTGGTGTTACCAAAATAAGATCAATTATTGTAGTAGAACTTATATTACATTTATATGCCTGCTCAAAATCAAAATACTAAAAAACAATCTAAGCTGGGAACAAACCTGATGCAGAGCTGAAAGGTATTTTTTCCTCTGTGAGCCTCCTTTGCATTTCCTGACCACTCTTCCTAGTCATCGATCGACATCATAACTAACAACTTCGCTTCCCTTCATTTTTTATATAGGTGTTGTTATCTGAGTTACGCCGAACAAAAGAACTGTTCGCTATTAAGGCCTTAAAGAAAGGGGATATTGTTGCAAGAGACGAAGTAGAGAGGTGAGTTAACTGGGAGTTAGAAATGGAAAAGGTAAATATGCCCAAACAAATATATAATCATAATATAAACTGCTCATATGTGCAAGTTTGTCAAGTTCTGTTCTTTTGAATGATATGTAGTTGTGCACCATGGCAATTAGGAAAGTGATAGTTAACATGGCTGAGGATTGAATTGCACATGGCTGTCTCCCGTCCTGATAATAGTTTTCCCCTTCTTCCTAGCCTGATGTGTGAGAAGCGGATTTTTGAGATTGTGACCCAAGCAAGGCATCCTTTCCTAGTGAACCTTTTTGCCTGTTTCCAGACACCCCAGCATGTCTGTTTTGTCATGGAGTACACAGCAGGTGGTGACCTCATGATGCACATACACACCGATGTTTTCTCAGAGCCACGTGCAACGTAAGTGCCACATCAGAGAGAAGACAGACCTTACAGTAGAAAAATGCAGCTAAAGAGTTCCTGACGGGATCTTTGTTGGGTGCCATTTTAAATGTTGCTATCCTTCCAATATACTGAGAGCAGATTTAGGTTTTGGTTTTCAGTCCTATTTATTTGTTATATCATAATTAACTCTTAGATCACAGCTCCCACAAATGGGAATCATTCATTGTTGGCTACCAGAATAGAGCTGGCATTACCTGTGCTGGCAGCGTTTTCACAATCTGCTGTCACCTTCAGGTTTTATGCTGCTTGTGTTGTCCTGGGGCTGCAGTTTCTTCATGACCACAAGATAGTTTATAGGTAAGTATCACTATTAAAGCAATTCCATATATTCTCTTTCTTTCCTAGTTTTTTTTTTTTTTTTGCATCCTGCTACTGACAGAGTTGGAAAGTAAAATGTCATATGATTGCAATAACTTATGATGTCTGCAGTCATTAAGCAAATCATCTCTTGTTATTAAACATGATGGCATGTTATTGTTTTGTGACTTCCTGCCAGCTTTCCTATTGACTTTGCTTTTTGGAAGCTAGCTTTGAAGGTCATCAATGGCCATCAATGATTCCAAGACACTTTAATTATTGTAAATATGCACTGATTGTCAAATGCCCAAATTACAATCACACGACTCCGGGTACATTGTGATAGCTACAAGCATGAGGACTAGTCTTCTTTTTCAATGTGGTCATAACTTTGGTTGCTTAATGAGCAGTCAGTAAGGAAGAACAAATTACATATTAACTTCCAACTCTTTTCAAATGAGTAACTACATTCAGTTAGGAAGGATAAATGTTGTTCATACCATTTCTCCTAAGTATAACTTTTGAAATGTAGTAAGGTCTTTAGATTCTGCCACAGAGAGCTACAGTTATAATGGAGGATTCCGTGTAAAATGTTTGCCTTAGTAACTCCACTGTGGCAGTAGGTAATAATTCCTGCAAAATAAGTAGTTATTTTATTGAAAAGTTTCCTTATCCTTCAGGGATCTGAAGCTGGATAACTTACTATTGGACAAAGAAGGCTTTGTGAAAATTGCAGATTTTGGCCTCTGCAAAGAAGGTGATTTTGGGGATGGGATAATTGTCTCCAAAGTTGGCGTGAATGTTTTAAATAAAATGAAAACATAATATGTCTCTCGGAATTATACTTTCTTGATTAGCAGAAGCTGATCTGCAGCTTCTCCCAAAAAACTTAGTCGTCAGTTGGGGAGAGCAGAGACTGCAAAAGAGGCGAGAGAAGCATCTATTTTGCCAAGATTTTTTGTACAGTCACCATGCATGTATGTGGTAGTCTTATGATATACAAAAATATAAAAGTTAGCAGTGAGTGTTGGGGAAAGTCCCTATTCAGGGGTGTTTCTAAGGGTTGTGTTCAATAACATTAAAATCTCAAATGTAACCAGGTGACCAAGTGCTGTACCATTTTACCTGTGTGTGAGATGCATTAAGGGGTGGGATGGGACTTCAGTTGCTAAGTTGTATTCACCATTCACCCTCCCTCCCCTTGTCTGTGGACAATCCTTTTCCTACTTCAGAACTTTCTATGAAGATTTCAAAATTCTTGTTCTTCTCTACACTTTTGTTGAGGATTGTTGCTGAAGTCATATTTTTAATACAGCTCTCCTTTGTTTGCCAGGAATGGGCTATGCTGACCGTACCAGCACATTCTGTGGGACACCAGAGTTTCTGGCTCCTGAAGTGCTTACAGACACCTCCTACACAAGAGCAGTCGATTGGTGGGGCTTGGGGGTCCTTATCTATGAGATGCTAGTAGGTGAGGTAAGTCACCCTTATATAATTATGGAAAAGAAGCAAGTGGGTCAGAAAGGGTTTTTTGGACTAGATAGCAGTAGCAATAGCACTTAGATTTATATACTGCTTCACAGTGCTTTACAACCCTCTCTAAGCGGTTTACAGAATCAGCATATGGTCCCCAACAATCTGGTCCTCATTTTATCCACCTCAGAAGGATGGAATGCTGAGTCAACCTTGATGCTTGGAAGTGGAACTTTATATCCTGTTTGAAGTATGCTATTAAAACATTAAGGGAAAAATAAACTTAGTGGTGTGTTTAAATGTGTGGCATTACAGGTAGAAATGTTTCACGGGGGGCTTGATATTGGAGGCTATAATATTTGTTATCTTGGGCAACTTCCAAGTGTGTGGTCTCCAGACTCTCAAAATTCCCCAGGAAGCATGGCTATTGCTTAAATTCAAGTCTGGAAACTATCCAGTTTGGGAGATGCTGATCCAGTTTCTTAAGTTTTTCTGGGAATCCAATTCCCCAGGAAGCATGGCTATTGCTTAAACTCAAGTCTGGAAACTATCCAGTTTGGGAGATGCTGATCCAGTTTCTTAAGTTTTTCTGGGAATCCAGGATTGATGAGGACGGATGGAATTGGTTCTGAGAATGATGGAGGAACCCAGACTGACATTGGATTCTGTCTCAATTGATGTTGTAGTCCCCGTTCCCAGGAGATGATGAAGAAGAAGTATTTGACAGCATTGTCAATGACGAAGTGCGCTATCCCCGTTTTCTTTCCACAGAGGCAATTGGAATCATGCGCCGGGTGAGTGCCTCTTGCTTCAGCTGTAATTTCACCAGGACTAAAACTAGAGAGCAGATTCTTCTAATGGGGTTGCAGCATTAGGAGAATGCAGGGAGGGAGACTTGAACAACATGGACATGGGTTTAGCTGCAATGTTTCTATCCCTGACATTGGGGTAGGGGTAGGTTTGGGGATAGTTAGGTTTGGGGTAGGCAGGAAAACATAAAACACAAGAGCCATGTAAAATACTGTTCTGGGCTTGGGGGAGAAGGTGGTGGATGAGAATCGTTTTGTCTGCCCATGTTGATTTGATGTTGATAACCTCTTTATTCAGCTGCTGCGTCGGAATCCAGAAAGGCGCTTGGGGTCTAGTGAGCGCGATGCAGAGGATGTGAAGAAGCACCCGTTTTTCAGAGTCAGTACTTCGTTTCTTTTCTATTCTTTCTTCAGATTGTTAGTTATGGACTCTTTCAAAGAAAGCTCTGCGCTGTCTTCTAGACTGAAACTATCCATTGTGACCATCCTTCATTAGGGCTATATTAGAGCAACCAAGACAATGTTCCTTTGTGCCTTCTTAGAGAAGGACACTCTGTTGTAGCATAAAAAGCAGGTCCCTTATGTCTGTTTTAAAAGGCAGAGAAATTTTAATCGATCAAAATTTCATATGTCTGATCACACGGATGCCAGTTTGTGAATGCTTATGCTATATATAGTATATAAAAAAGCAGTCTTGTTGCACCCAAAACACTTTTAATGTCTGTGGACAGTTTCTCTTTTCCTAAAGTGGAAAATTCCCTGCACTATTTGTGCATCTAAAATCTATAACTCAAATGAAGTACAGCTCAAATGAATGGCCACCAAATATGGATTTTGAAAAGAAAGCTTCCTGCTCTGAAATGGGTGGTTTTTATTGTTAATTATTGCTGTAGGCTTCATATACTTCCAGCATCTTGTAGCTTATTTTGTATACTCTTCTTGCTTCAGGTAAAGGACTTGCGGTGTGTTATTTATTTATATAATTTCCTTTTCTGGTTAATATTAACAATCATCTCAAAGAAGTCAGAGTTCTTACTTTTTTTTCCCCCTGTACACAGAGCATTGAATGGGAAGCTTTGCTGGCTCGTAAGATCAAACCACCTTTTGTGCCAGTAATTAAGGGCCGTGAAGACATCAGCAACTTTGATGAGGAGTTTACCGCTGAAGCAGCTGTGCTGACACCACCCCGTGAATCACGGCCCCTCACCCAAAAGGAACAGGATGCCTTCAAAGATTTTGACTATGTCTCCAGTGTTTGCTAGCTCCAGAAGTGAGGGCAAGGAGATTTCCTCAACACTGGCAGCTCAGTGAGGCAGAATTCTGTTCCTCCATTGACTCAAAGACACTTCCTAATACTGCCTGCTAGCCCCAGAAGCGAAACTCAGAAAAAACCCAATCACATTGCTAACATAATGTGGAATGAGTAGTGTTCACCAATGTATGCCTGCTCTGGGATTAGAAGGGAAAATTCCAGTAATATTTCTGCATTGCGTGGAACGCAGTATAATTCATCCAGAAGGTTGGGCACCTGCTGGCTCAAAGGGAAGGGAAGAAAGAGAAAGAAAGAAAGACTGACAGCCAAATATAACTATGTCAGCTTGCATCTTCATGAAACTATTATTTGTCTACAAATTCCCAAACTTTCTAGTGGAACAAGCAAAACTATTATTAGGAATCTACCAGTACTGGAGATGCTGAAGTCAAAGGGCCATTCTGTGCCCTAACATACTGTTGTGAAGGATTTTTAAAAACCATATTGTGAAAAAAGTGGGGTTCCCTTTCTGATATTATTTGCTGAAATTTACTTCAAATTCTAACCCAGAAGGGAAAACTGAATCTCATTCTGCATCACAGCTTTCTGTCAGTATTTAGTTAGCTGTGCACAAACTCTCTTGGGTCAATTTTGAACCAATTCTGTAATTCTGGGCTTTCTTGACAACCATTTGCAAAAAGCTCTCTGGTTTTTTTCTCCCCTCAAGAATTAACTCCAGGTTCATAAGATAGACATATGTACCATTAGTGTATGTGTGTAAATTATTATCTTACCCTTCCTGGGAATTCACAGGCTTTGTACCCATCCCATAGTGGTGGCTGGGGCAGAAGGGTTCTTAAAAGTCCTAACTCCCATACTCTGAACTAAATTGTTTGGGTATTGGTGAACATCTAGGTCTAGATGGGAAATCAATTGCATTAAAATAATTGCAAGAAACAATCAAGAAAATAGTGGCACCAAGTGAAAAAATACATGTGATTCTGGTCACCAAATTATAGTAATTTAATGAAAATTACATCGCACTTGAACAGTGTAAGAACCTATATACCTGCATCTGCACAGCTAGTTTTCAGTTAAGTGGCCAACAAACATACATGCAAAGGCTCATTTAATATTTTAAACTGGAGAAGGATTTCTCAGGACAAAATACTTGATTCAGTGAGGGGATATACTTGATTATGTAGCAAAATCATTGTGGATTTTAGAGCAAAATGAATTCAAATCCATCATTTGGAAATAATGATCCAATTGTTTTGTTTCCATTTTATATCCCAGTTTTCTTGGAGATCTGTATACTATTATTCAAGAGAGAATATCGGATCTCAGGAGAAAAAGTGGTTGAGACTCTGGATGATTTCAGACAGATAACAGACCTTTACAATAAAAAAGTCTAGCTATTTTAGCTTATTTTTTGTAATAGATTTTTTGTAGTTAAAGAGAAGAAGAGAGATGAAGAATTAGAAAACAGAGGAAAGTTATAAATGAACAGCAAGTACATCAGAACATGAAATGAAATACACAAATAAGACAGAGGAATAGGTTTGTATAACTCTGTAGACTCTGTATTGCTAATTTTTTAGTTTTATCAACAATTTTGCCTCTAGTATTCCTAACTTTCACTAGTGACAATATACTTGTGCTTGCCCCAGTAAGAAGATATACTGTACAGGGCTAGATAGTTTTGAGTTATAGCTCTGGCAATTAAAATATTCATGAAGAAAGAGGCAATGAGAAAGGAGAAGGTCTTTGCGGTATGTCTAATGAAAACACATTTTTTTCAAAATGCAACATCTTTTATTATAATTGTCCACATTAAAATAACTTAATTAGGTTCGTTCTGCATCAGGATCACTTGTCCTACAGAATGATTGGTTGCCTTTCTTCAGCCCGCATTGGGAAGTATTCTATTTTTATTAATATGATTTACTTCCTTAAAGATGACCTGAAATTTTGGAATGCAGATATAGAGGAGCATAAATGGCAATATCTCAAGTGCGGTACATTATCTTTTTTTTTTAATAGTAAGTTGTGCCTAGTATTACAAGTTATGCCTGGGATAAAAACATTTTTAGAGGTCACTGCCATCACTTTGTGTAGAAGGATTGCAAAAATATGTCCCTTTAAAATACATTCAGTGAAGAGATTACAACCAACCTGCCATTTTTAAGAAAGGCAAGTATTATTTGTTACATAAAATGGGACAGAACTTTTATATCTTTTTTTTTCTCTCAAAGATGATTTTTAAGTCTCATTTAGTCCTGTACCAGAATTGAAAGATTGGACTGGGCAATAATTTTCATTTAAAGAAAGCAACAAAGGTTCCTTCTAGATGTTAATCACTATTTCAGAAAAGTAGAAGCATGGATTTGCTACTCTTATTTTACATGGCAAAGGAAAAGACACAGTTATCTATTTGGAAGGATTAAGAATGAGGCTTAGAAAGCATATATGTGATTTATTTAAGGGGTTTAAGGTTTTAATTTTTGTTTGCTCCTTCTGTACCTGTGTTACATTACCAGAAGTGAATTGCACATATCTGGACAACCACTAGATAGCAGCAAAAAGATGCAGAAAACTTGATTGTAGCAGTCATCTGGATTTTTTGCAGCTCAAATATGGACCACTAGTTGCTTTTTTTTTGAATCACCAGAAAAGATGGATGCATTCATTATTTTTAATTGCAGCAAAGCCTGCTTTAAAATCAGAACTTCAGGTTTCAGTCCTCCAGTCCTCCACCAGGAGACAGTCCCGGTGCAATCTAGATCACAGAAATTGCACAGCATTGCAACATGAATTCTGAAGAACAGCCTTTATTAGCAGAAAGGGTTTTAACTTCCTGTGTGCCTCCTTTTCTGCCTCTTAGATCTTTTCCAAGGCATGTCCAATCTTAGTAACTATGTGAATTTGTGCTAAGAGACACTATCATGCTAAAACTGTCTTGTTTATTAAGTTTCCTTTATTAATGTTACTACCTCTGTTGCCTGACCAGAACCGCACTGTGTTATAAAGCCTGAGTTTTAAACTGAGTTTTATACCTTTCAATACAAATGTATTGACTTTATCAAAATATTGGAAAACATTGAAAAAAAATTCCTTTAGCTGAACAATGCCATTCATCATTCAAGAGGTAGGGTATGTGCAGGGTATTCTATCCTTCCTTCAGATTAGATTCATAGTCCCCAGACCCACAGTCTTAGTTCTACAGTGGCGTTTTAAGTAAAGTTGGGCAGCAGAGGGGAAATTAACATGAGTTTCCGTAAGAAAGAATGTAGTCTGCTGGATGCAGAGTATAAGACCAAATTCCTAAGTTTTAAGACTAGAGAGTAAATATGTGCATTACAATAAAGTGCAAATAGTTTTCCAGGACAGTTGTTGAATTAGGTGCTCATTCTCCTTTATTGCCTTGTTACAAAATAAATACCTTGTTTATAATGCATATCCTTGTACTAGATGAACAGTGACTGCAAAAAGGTGACCTTATGACTCTAGGCAGAGATCCAATTACTGTGAAATGACTTCATATTAGTCTGGATTGTCTTTTATATAACATTTGTTTTTGCAACATTGAAGCCAGTGGAACTAAATCATAAATTGTGGCAAGTTTGCCTTTTCCCACTAGATTTTGTAGCCTCATTACTACACTGTTAAATTAAAGATAAGTTTCCATAATGGATGTATGGGGAATCTGCACGAAGAAATATAAATTCCCTATCAGTGCTTGATTGGATTCAGTTTGGCAGCACCAGTTAATTTGTCTTTCGAAACTAGGGAAATTATCTTTCTTATGGAGGGAGGAAAGATGTGGTTTTGGAGCAAAGATAAGATGACTGCTTCAACTACAGGAATAGATAAAGCATATCCCTGTATTAAGAAACTAGTACAAACCTTCCTCTGAAACACCAGCTCTTACTATGGACGGATAACCAAAGTTGCTCTTGTGAAAGTTTTCATAATAGTTTCATATTCATTTCTTCTTCCACTTAATGTTCTGTATTCTTTACAACTTAAGTACAAGTAGTCTTTGTTGAGCTACCACAAGTGGCTGCTAAGTGAAACTGACTATACTGATGACTTCATTTCATCTTTTGTTTGCTTTACAGACCTCCAAGGATTGATTGTAAAATTACTTTTTCATCACCGTAGTAGCTGCAAACAATCACTAAACAAGGCAGTCACTACCTGTAGAGGGTAGCTGAAATAAATACTGAATCCATAGACAGGTAGCTCAATTTACAACTGTTTGTTTGGTGATCCAAGTTACAATGACATTGAAAAAAATGACTTCTGACCGGTCCTTGCACTTATGACTCTCCCACCCTCCCCATGGTGATCATAATTCAGGCACTCTGCAACAGGCATGTGTTTAGATGGCTGCAGCATGATGGGGTCATGTGATCACCATTTGTGACCTTCCCAGATGGCTTCCAACAAGCAAAGTCAATGGGGGAAGCCAGATTTATTTAGCATCCACCTTGCTTAGCAATAGAAATTATGGTCTTGAATGTGGTTGTATATTGAGGACTGCCTGTAGAGATTGATACCCAAGTTTGAAATAATAAATTAGTATTTCTCCACAGCAAAGACCTTTAATTTATTAATCCACACCCTCCTATATTGATACCTATATTGTATGACATTATGATGTGGCTGTTATCAGCAATAACTGCACAGCACCAATTATGAGTCTTTATTGCACCAGATTGTGATTTATGAGAGGAATATACTATATATTTAGCTCTTGGGAAGAGCTATTGAAATGTCTATGTATCACTTTGCCTTTTACCGAAATGACCTCCAATCAAGAGATTGTGGTGGGGTTTACGCTGCAATTCAGAATGCATTTTGTTGAGTGTAAATCAGACTGAGTAGAGACATTGAAGATTAGATTTTTAGCAATCTACCTTATTTGGTTTAGCTTTTAATCTGCGTGAAGCGAGACAGCTAGCAAGATTCCTCCTCTACTTTTGCTGGCCCTTTTTATGTATGTATTGAGACTACAAAGCCGGCCATTAGTAAGAAGGGGGGAGGGAAATCATTCGGCCCAATTGCGTCTTACTGCTTCTTACATTCATATCCCACCTTCAGTGGCTCACAAGGTCATAAAGAGACCACCTTTATTTTTTTTCCAGAAACAAACCTGGGTTGGCTGGGGCTGAAACGAAAGGACTTAGTCCTAAGTCACTCAGTGCGTCTTTCTGAGTTCCACACCTTAAACCAAATTGATCTTTTGAGGTTTGACATGATAAAGTACTGTACACATCTGGCAATAAGGTAAGTTCCAGATAAAAGAGTAAGCAGTAATGCTGAAAGCAATTACGGGGTGTGCATGTATGTGTGTGTAAACAAATGCTTTTGGTGTGAAACATTTGAGGGAGGCTTAGGAGGGCTGATTGCAAGGAGCTGGAAAGCTTCTCTAAAAGCAGGTTGTATTGAAAGCGGTCAGGAAGGAAAGAGGATTACTTGCCGCACCGCTTCACTTAAGAGCTATTTTTGATATATAATAATATATATGGCTTCGATTCTCAATTTCGCCTGGCCCTTCCGGGAACATTGAGACTCCCGGAAATTTACTGGCGGGAGTTTAAGAGCGATGTTGCTGCAGCCCTAGGTTGCGGCGAAGCTCGCCTCAACATCTTCCGGCCTGTGAAATTCAACGAGTCGTAGTAATAGCTGGCGAGACCTTCGTGGGAACGCACGTGCTTCTAAACCCTATGGAGGCGCTCACAGAAGCGGCACGTAGTACAAGGCGCACCATTTTTCCGCCTTTTTACCGCTCAGCTGCTGCAACAAACAGCTGTAGCTTACCGCCACCTCTTGACCCTACAGCATTGCGGACCTGCCCCTCCTGCAAAGGTAACGCGCCCTCCCCTGGCGCTCCGCTGGTTCTCGAGGCGGTGTTCCCGACGGGTTTCTTTTCCGCTCAGGCGGGTTCTTGTTTCGCGTTTTCGCCTTCCCGTCTGACCTACGACTTAGCTGCGTCTTTGCCTCTCAAGGACCCGAAACTGAGAAGGCTGCAGCTGTATATAAATTATAATGGAACCGCTTCGGGGATTGTTGACAACGCCAGGAATTGGGCAGCTGCAGCATCACGTCGTCGAAACCGAAGTCCAGCGTTCAGTCCTAAATTTTCTGGTGTTAAGAAAATGGGAGGAGGAAGTTAAGAAATAAATTTAAATACCATCTAATCTGCAAAGCGCAATGCTTAGAGAATTATAATGAACATTTATTGATCACATTTAGGAACCTCCCGCCTCCTTCACAGCCTCGTTGGGAGGGTGCAAATAAAATGTTACAAACGTGAGATCCTAAATAAAAAATTAAAATAGAGGCAAAGATAAAGTTGACATTAAACGTTAATTAAAAAGCAGAGGAGA